GAAACCTCAACGGAATGGGATCGACCCCGGTGTCCTTTCCCCTACCTAGGAACTAGCGCGCCTGTGGGAGAAATCACGAAGGCTAAAAAGAGGAAGGGCAAAAGGGAGGGGTGAGGAGGAGGAGGAGGAATGGAAAAAGGGGAGGATGGGGAGGATGGGATAGGGGAGGGGAGAATGGGGGGTAATTAGGTTCGGTCTGAGGAAGAAGACCGACAGGGCTAATTCCTCAGACCAAGAGCCTCTTCACCACGCCAAGGAGCCCCCCTTGAAGAGGTGGGGTCCTTCAGTCTTGTCCCCCAGGCTGCAACCCACACCAGCCAGCTAACACCCAGGTACCTACTTGCTAGGTGGATGGGGACAGCAGGTGTAAAGAAACATACCCAGTGTTTCCACTCGGCCAGGGATTGAACCACAGACACTCAGTGTGTGAGGCGAGAGCATTGCCTACCAGGCCATGGGACACCTTAATTAGTTGTATTTTAGGATCAGATTGAAATTTGTTAAGTACTGTGTAGTACCGATATTAAAATACAGTATATTGTACATATACCCATGATGATGAGTTTCGAGTCTTTTCACTCTTGGAGGTCAGCCATGGGTGGGCAAATTACAGAACGGTTGTGTAACTACTGTATACAGTAGATATATCGCATAGCCTATCTTCTGTGGTGTGTATGATAGTGTTTACCTGGAGACCTGGAGAGAGTTCCGGGGGTCAACGCCCCCGCGGCCCGGTCTGTGACCGTATGTAAGCAAGCAAAATTTATTTAAAAAGCAAAAAAAAATATAACTTGTGAAATATCTGGAGAATGTCTAGAGAAAAAAGTGTCTTTATAGTTTCCTCTGTAAATTAATAAAAATATTATGTACAGAAAATTATTCAGGTTTATAGTTTTTCTATCACACTGCTAGAATGATCACTTTCACAGGTAAAACACCAATTTTCCAGCAACACTTGGTCTGGTACCTCTTTTATTTCAGACAAAATTAAAAGACTAGTTTTTTGCCAGACTAGTTTACCAGGCAGCCACAAATGTTGGTGTGTAGTTCATGCTCATTTATAAAATTTACACTGCAGTTTTTGGTGATGATCCCTTGATTTTGAGAGATTCTTAGTGTATTTTGCTAACAGCCCTAGCTATGCCTAAGGTGAATAGTTATACAAGTAACTTGTCAATAGGTAATAGCTATTGACAAGTTAGCTCTTGTTAATAGCTAGTAGCTGTTAACAAGTCAATAGCTAATAGCTATTGAGCTGTCAGGTGAATTAATCAAAGGGCTAAAACAATGTTGCTTTGTGACAAAATAAGAGCTAATAATTTTTTATTTGATACATGAAAAACTACACAGGGAAAGAGCAAAGAACATGAAACAACTTTGCTTGGATAAAATATTTAAAAAGATAGCCAGAAATAATGTGTATCATAGAAATAAGCCTTCATCTAAAAATCCTGTGGCTTCAAGTACCCAGGGTGCCTGCCCTCTAATATCACAAATCAATGATGGAACAGTCATCAACTATGAAGAACAGAGGCACAATACCATGACAGGAACAATACACAAATAATCCACACACAGAAAAAACTTATGATGTTTCAGTCTGACTTGGATTATTAACTAGTCAACTATGAAATGGACAGTAATCCTGACAACCCTCAACTTCCAGAACTTTGTGATAAGCTTTACTGTTCCAGTAAAATTGCAAGATTCACCACTTTGGGAGTGGTATTATTATTATTATGATCAAAAAGAAGCGCTAAGCCACAAGGGCTTTGGGAGTGGTAGTACTGCAGCATTCTTTACAAGTACAGTAATGAATAAACCACTTTCATTATATCAAAGTTTAATTAAGTCTCCAGCAGACCATGACGGGTCAGAGGTGCTATGTTGAATTATTATTATGTTATCACTTGATCTGGCAAAATTGATATTCTGGCAAGGCCTAGGAACCAAGGATGCTGGAAAATCAGTGTTGTACATCTATTATTTTTAATGCTAGGTTTTTAAATCAAGATAAAGTAGAAACAGTGGCTGTCAGTCTGTTACTATATTGTTAATAAAATATAAATGTTTCAATAAGAATACAGTGGTACCCAGAGTTTCAGCCATAATTCATTCCAGAAGGCTGTTCGAGTGCTGTTATTGAACGAATTTGTTCCCATAAGGAATAATGTAAATCAGATTAGTCTGTTTTGTACGAAACTCGTGGTACCACTGTACTTCAGTGTTAATAAAATTTCAATGTACAGTCATTTGTGTAGACTGTAGAGCAATGTAGAGTACTACTGTGCCTTGAAAGTTAACTATAATCTTATGCTGTACTGTACCAGGAAATTGATGTATGTTGGTAAACCAGGTGGTCTGATTTTGGTGGCCACAAATAAAAGCAGTGAAATACAGTAAATAATGCATGGAAACTTTTATTATTGTATGCCAGGATCAAACATGGGGTCAACTTTCCAGGCGTGCCCGACATCATATGATTATGATGCACCGCTGTCTGAGGCAGGAGATCCAACTGAGAAGTATTGGGTTATTAGGAATATTACTCAAAAGGTGACAGTGCAAGGCTTTCTTGTCTTTATTATTACTTTAGTTTATCAGGGTCTTAAAAAATTATTCTTATAAGAAAAAGCAATTAATCAAATGGTCAACTAATTAGACTGAATTAAGTAGCAGTACAGTAACTTCAAAGTGTCTCACCTGTATAAACTGTGCACTAATTAATGAAACTTGGGAGCAAGTTTTTTCACATTCTTTATTACATCTTACCTGGAAGGCAATGTTTGCAGTAATTTCTTTACTAGTGCTTTTTCTCCATCAAAAAACCAATATATTTTTTTCAAAATTTTCTTCCATTTTTGTTTGCTGGTTATCCATTTTTATCCAAAAAAAAGGAGGGAAAACTAAAATTCCTTGGACTAAGAGCCTTTGCTACAAAAAAAACACTTCCCCCCCTTTTAAAAAAAGACCTCATAAATATCATTTTTAATTCCCCACAGTACCTTCCTCTCCCTGGGAAATGGCCACCGCCTCCCCAAAAAGTAAACCTATGGTAATGTACATTTTGTCACCAGGGGGCAAGTACTGAAATTTCACATTTTCTTTCTCTCTCACCAAAGTTCCCTCTTTTTTGAGAAAACCAGTGTTGCCAGGGGTCTGGTCTTGTACAAACCCCGTCCTGCCATTTAAATTGTAAGTGACTCACTTTTACACTTTTCCCATGAGTAAAATTCAAAACAATAATCAAACAAACTTTTTTAGGTGGATGTAAAAAAGGTAGTTGCTTTGAAAAGATAAAGCCAAGATTTTTTTCATAAATTACCTGTATTTTAATTTGGGATTACTGTTGTTTGACAACAAATTTTGTTGTCATACACAAATACTTTGTGTAGTAACAAATTTTCGTTATATAACATTTACTGTTGGTATGACAACAATTACTGTTGTCATACACAAATACGTTGTTTATATAACAATTTCTTTATTATACACATAAATATTTTTAGACAACAATTTCGTTTTCAACACAAATACTGTTTTGTAGATAACAATTACTGTTTTTATACACATTTACGTTTTGACAATTACTATTATTTACACTTTTTTTGTTTGTTTTGACAACATACTTTTTTTAACCATTTATATTGTTAGACAACATTATGTTGTATACACAAAAAACGATGATTAAAAATTACGTTATTTTTACACATTTTCTATTTTGTATACAACAATTACTGTTGTCAAAAAAATACTGTTGTGTATGATAACAATTACTGTTATTAACACATTTACTGTTAAAGACAATACAAATTTTTAAAACACATTTACTGTTTTGGATACAACTATTTTCTGTTATTATACTATTTACTATTTATATGACAACAACACTCTTTTCATCACAAATAGTTGTGGGGTTCATTGCATATATATATTGTGATGTTATTTCTTACCTTATTAAAATATAATTTTTTTTTTAAATTCCAACAAGTTTTGTTTATTTAATATTTTTAAATAAAATGAAGATAACATTAATGCTTCCAGTAGTCAGTTGTTATTTTTTTTAAGTAATAGAAATACAGTGGACCCCCAGTTAATGATATTTTTTCACTCCAGAAGTATGTTCAGGTGCCAGTACTGACCGAATTTGTTCCCATAAGGAATATTGTGAAGTAGATTAGTCCATTTCAGACCCCCAAACATACACGTACAAACGCACTTACATAAATACACTTACATAATTGGTCGCATTCGGAGGTGATCGTTATGCGGGGGTCCACTGTACTAAGGTTTCCATCTTCCTAATCTCAAAGTTAGTCTACTTGTATGTAAAAAGTTAGTCTAAACTTTAGGTAAAAAAAATGATCCAATAGAAGAAGCAAAGAGGCAACCAGCAGGCTATATCAATAATGTGAAACAATGTTAACCTTTATTATAAAACCTTACTCAAGGAAAGCTGTATTAAGCTTTGATTAACTTAACTGAGCTCTATTTGATTGAAGCTTTATGCTGTAATTAAATCTTGCACTGTTTCACATTTATGGCACTTTTAGTCTGACATGATCCACTACCAGGTCAGCCATAGGTGTTGTGTAACTTGAAGACTGAAAGAGTGTGATCTGAGTGTGTCTAGAAATGTTGGCTGTCTGCATCCTGGGCTAACTGATTATCCAAACTTCATCCACTCAGACAACTATCTCACATAAGCATCTTCTTGAACAGAGTGACCCAGCTCGCTTAAGCATTAATGAAGTACACGACAGAGGTTACGTGTTTGTGGAGTCTCGGTTTGCTGGTATAGTGTCTCGGGAACAAGAGTTGTATGATCTAGCCCTCTCTGCACTCCCTAACCAGACTATCTCTATTGTTGTGGAGAGTCAAGGGCGAATATGCTACGGTTCACAAATTAATGATTTTAAGGTAAGTAATACTACAGTTTCAGATATATTTGGCATTTATCTTACAAGTGTATTATTTGGCATAAAGAGAAATTAGTGCATTTTTAAAACCATTGCAAGTAATTTAATGTTTTCAAGGGACTGACTACAAATGTAACAATAAATGGTAACACTTTGGAAAACTGGAAAATGGTCCCGATACCACTGAGCAATGTGCCTCGTCTCTCCTCTGCTCTTAAACGACTTAAATTCAAAGTAACGACAAGTGGAATATCTCCACAAGAACTACTGGCAACTCCTCAAGGTGGAATGACTTTCTATGAAGGCTCATTCAATGTACCTGATGATGACTCACACCCACAAGACACATTTCTTCGTCTGGATGGCTGGGGAAAGGTGAGTTACTTATTGCTACAAGTGCTGAAGCAATGATAAAATATAAAAAATTATGCAAGTATACTTAAATATCATGAACACTTTTGTCATGCCATTTTGTTTGAGATACATGAAGACTGACAAATAAGAAAGAGCTTATAAAATATTTAGTTAATTACAACACCAGGGTTACAGATTTAAAGTATAAGTTATAAATACTGTACAGAGGTAAGAATCTGGTGTCTAAGCTGCTAAAATTTGGAAAAAAAAACATAAGATTTTGTTAAAGTAATTACCATAGATTGTGTTCAATGAAAATTGTAATTCTTTTATTAAAAAGTGCTAAACCCATATGGGTGATACAGCATTGGGTGTACAAGGGTAAGAGCTAGTGCAGGTGCAAAATTAATTAATATCACTGTTAATTTGTTAATCAATGAGAGAGTAATTTTAAGATAATCCAAGGTGAGGTGTGACTAGCAAGTTAATTTGGTGAAGTAGAGACTATTCATCTTAATGTGAAACCTTTGTTACTGCTTCAGATGTCTTCACAATACAATTTATTCTTCAACATTTGTATATATACATGTATATATTTTATGAGCTTATTTGTTCTACATTTCAGTTATAGCAATCATGTAACTGTGTGTGATACTATACCTTCATATACACTACCAATAAACCTCTAATATGTGATAAAATCAAGAGTTTAGTTCTTGGAGTAAACTTTTTACAATGTTAAAACATTATTTACAGGGTATAGTGTGGGTGAACGACTTCTGCCTTGGCCGGTACTGGCCAGAGGTTGGCCCTCAGGTGACATTGTACATCCCCAACGGTGTCTTAATGAAAGGCCCCAACACCCTGGTGGTACTAGAGTATGAAGTATCACCCTGTGTGCTCCCTGATTCGTGCTTACTTACTCTTCAAGATAAACATGTAATTAATGGACCCACTCCTGCATAAAAGTTGAAATAAATACAGGTTCCCCTTGAATTATGCGAGGTTACATTCCGATGAACCCATCATGTCGAAAATTAATATGATCTGCTAAATAAGTAAATAAATAACTACTGCCACTCAATAAGTAAATAAACAAATAATTACTGTAAATACATGCATCAGTATTGAAAATTAAAAAAAAATGTATATGAGTCATGGACTTGCCACCTTCCTGCTGGATAATTATCTTAAAGTTTAATCTCCAAAGTAATTGCTGTTGCACCATCGTAAAGTTGAAATGTCATTAAGGGCGCAGTTACTGAGTCTGAGCCTAAATACACCAAAAAATCGAAAAAAATATGGAAAATGAGTTATTCATACAGAAAAATAGCTTAACTCTTTGGCAACACAATGGTACAAGAATCAATGTTCTACAACATTTCTACAAGAAATTATAGTCATTTATATCAGGTATGGTGGCGGCGATGTAGGCCATAATATAGAGAGAGTCCACCAGCAATATTCGATATAAATGAGTTACTCCTCGTCCCCTTCTTCTATTGTTTGGTATGTGAGTGATAGAAAACGGTGTTTTGAAGAGGATAACTGCACTAGAACATCAGTTTACTAAGAAATACACGGAAAAAAACACGATTTCCGTGCAAAAAAAAATTTTTTTTGAGACGGTAGGCCTGCCGACGTTCTAGGCCTATATCTCGGAAGTAACTTATTCACTTATTTCGCTCCATAACTCCATTATTAATGATTGTATTGAAATGATTTTCACAGACAATATAAAACAAAGTGTGTTTGAAATAGAGACGTAAAATTTTTTGGAATATCTCAAATATTTTTGATTTTATGCGGGGTTAAAAGGCAGATATTTTGGCGAATGCCAAAAATTTTGTCAAATGTATTTTTTTTTAATTTGATAATAAGATATATTAGATGAAATGGCTATGTTAAAATGTCATGCTAGTTGTATTCTAACAGTTGGGAATGTCGGAAGTGCCACTCGTAGTGCCAATTTGTCAGGGGATGCTGCCATATATAAAAATTATGTTTATATTTTTTTCTCTGTTGTTTGTTGGCCAATCATACTGAAACTTTGTCACATGCTTCTACATATGCACCTCTAAAAGTACACCAAAAATAAAATAAATCGGTTGAAAAATAAAAAAAAAAAAAAAAAAGTTAGTAACTGCGCCCTTAAGTCGAACCATTGTAAGTAGAGGAGCACCTGTAAGTTGGAGATATGCAACGATATTACGTGGCCCAGCAGAAAAGTTCCTAGATTTTAACATGACTAAAGTATTCAAAATAAGTTGTAGAATGAATTACTGTACAAAAATCTTTGATATTAAAGTATCATATAGTTGACATTATTTTGATAAAACTATATAAATGTGTACTTTTAGAATTGTATGAGAGGAAAAAAACTTAAAGGTTTCTTTGATGTTAATTTTCAAATCTCAAAATGTAATTAAGATCTAGATGACAGTCAGTCTTAATGATCAATTTCTCTATTAATGACTTGCTGGTAGCTACTTGTTCTCTCTGCTAATAACAGGTTACACATTTAAATAGTTCTAAACTGTGCATCATCAATGGAGTGTCTTGTGTCCAAGACACGACCACACGTGTCATTAACAGTACACTAAAAAAATTGGTCATTCAGTTTAGTGTGTAGCAGTATAATAACTGAAGAATATAGTCACAATACCATGACTGGAACAATACACACACAACCCACACTTAGTAGACAAACTTATGATGATTTTTGGTCTAACCTGGACCATTAAATGTGTGACTAAAAATAAAAAATAAAATTTTATTTCTTTGCTAAGGTTATTAGTTAATGGTCCAAGTTGGATTGAAACTTCGTAAGTTTCAGTCTCGTGTGTGCAGGTTATCTGTGTATAACAACACTTATGTCAGAGCACTTGACTAATAAATGCATTACTGTATTAAATTATAGCGAATTACAAAATTGTTTCAGTATTTGTCTTTTAGCAAACGTATGTATTTAAGAATATGTAAAAAAAATTATTTCTAGTAAACTTTTAACCATTTGAGGGTTTTGGCCGTACTAGTACGGCTTACGACCCAGGGTTTTTGACAAACTACTACGCCTAAATTCTAGCGCCCTCAAATCTAGTGGGAGAATGCTGGTAGGCCTGCATATGAAAGAATGGGTCTATGTGGTCAGTGTGCACAGTATAAAAAAATCCTGCAGCACACAGTGCATAATGAGAAAAAAAAACTGACTGTGGTTTTGGAATAAAACAGCGACTTTGCACTGTATTTTCATATGGTATTTATTGGTGTATTCTAGTTTTCTTGGTCTGATTTTATAGAATGGAAGACATATTACAGAAATTGAGATGATTTTGACTGGTTTTGCAATGAAAAGTACCTTGAAATTGAGCTAAAAGTAGCAGAAATGTTTGATTTTTACCAAAGTTCAAAAGTAAACAAATCATGCCAAACGTCCAATACACGTCAACTGATGAGTCTAATATTCTTTCATAAGTGCACTGATATTATTTATACCATTTTTACACTAATGCAGTAGTCTGCATAACAGTAAATCTTCTATTTTTTTGTAAGAATAAAAATTGAAAGTGGAAAGCCAAAGAAATATAAGAGGGGCCTGGGGACGTGACTAATGAACAGAGAACTTCTTATTTTAGTGCCAGGAATATCTTTCTTGTTTATTCTGGACCCTATTCGGAAATTGGCATCTTTTGAAATTTGTGTGAAATTGGCAAAATTGCTAAATTCTGACCACTTTATTGGATAGTTGAAATCGGTAAATGGGTGGTTTCTTGTACTCATTCGATACAAAAAATAGAGTTCTAGTGAAATAGTTATGACTTTTGTCGACTAGTACATTGCAATTGGGCAAAAATAGAGCTCAAAGTGGGCAAAATCGCCAATGCGTAAACATCGTCAAGACCACTAACTTCGTGAGAGCATAATTACGTAAGTTTTTCATCAAATTTCATACTTTTGGTGTCATTATGATCGGGAAAAGATTCTCTATCTTTTAATAAGAAAAATGATTTTTTTTTTTTAAATTTGGCCGACCCTGAGAACAAGTCTCGGAGAGGGCCTGTCGACCCTCAAAGGGTTAAACTGGTATTTGAAAAATATTAGGCTAAATAAACCACCACATAAACCAATTCTTTTTGGCATCTTCCAACATACTTTAGCCACCACTGCAAGTTTAAATTTTTTGCTAATTTAATTTCATTTACTTTTATATATTTAATCTATTTTTTTACGTAAACATGTTGTTTCTGAAACAATATTTAATATTAAGTGCTAAAATTGTTGAGAGTGGAATGGCTGGTGTCTCAAAGATATTGGTGTTCAGTTTGTTGTACTATATGTATACAGTACTTTACTGTACATGTACAGTATTTAATTGAAACATCTTTAGTCTAAACTTTGTCATTGCATTAAACTTGGTAAGATACTTTTCTACTTTTCAATAGAGAGATTTATAACTTTTTCTGTATATTTGCAAAGTTTTACAGATTTATGAAAGATGAATGAAATTCTGTTATTTATAACTTTAGTGTATTGTATACATGTACAGCGGACCCTCGACTAACAATATTAATCCGTTCCAGACAGCTCATTGTTAGATGAAATTATCATTAGCCGAATTAATTTTCCCCATACGAAATAATGGAAATCCAATTAATCCATTCCAGACAGCCAAAAGGATTTTCTTTTTTTCATGAAATATACATTTCTCTACAAAGAAAACAATGAGACATGCACAATAACTATATAAATAACTGTTAAAATGACACTTACCTTTATTGAAGAGTATTGATGAGTGATGAGACACTTTTTCTTGAACACTCTGGGATTTTCAGAGTGATACATGAGTAAAGGCTTCACTTGCAATCCCCACTACCATTACAACAAAACAAGAAAGTTAACCTGTCTTTCATAGGCTTGTGTCCTGGGAGTGCCTTTTCCTCCTGAGTAATGTAGGTCCTGTTTGGCATTTTCTTCCAGAACAGGCCTATTTCATCACAATTTAACACTTGTTGGGGTTGGAATTTTTCAGCTTCACCATGCCTTATCACACTGTGTATGCCACTACGATTCTTAAATCTCTCAAACCAACCTTTGCTGGCCTTAAATTCACCAATATGAGCACTAGTTCCAGGCATTTTTCTTCTGTTCACCTGGGTGTTAGTCGACTGGTGTAGGTCGCATCCTGGGGGACAAGATTAAGGACCCCAGTGGAAATAAGTTATAGTCCTCGATGACTCACTGACTTTCTTGGGTTATCCTGGGTGGCTAACCCTCTGGGGTTAATTGTTTCTCATTAAGCCACACCAACAACAGTCTCTCCACATCTTCGAGTAGTACAGCTGACGGTGGTGCAGCAACAGCTGACAGTGGTGCAGCAGCAGCTGACCGTGGTACGATAGTATTTCGGTAGTATTTCTCATCCTTTTTACCACAGGGTTGGCACTAGAAGCTTTCTTTGGGTCCATGGTGGCTTATTTAGCAGTTTTTTTTTTTTTCTCAAGTCGGCCGTCTCCCACCGAGGCAGGGTTACCCAAAAAAGAAAGAAAATTCCCAAAAAGAAAATACTTTCATCATTCAACACTTTCACCACACTCGCACATTATCACTGTTTTTGCAGAGGTGCTCAGAATACACAGTTTAGAAGCATACACATATAAAGATACACAACATATCCCTCCAAACTGCCAATATCCCAAACCCCTCCTTTAAAGTGCAGGCACTGTACTTCCCATTTCCAGGACTCAAGTCCGACTATATGAAAATAACCGGTTTCCCTGAATCCCTTCACTAAATATTACCCTGCTCACACTCCAACAGATCATCAGGTCCCAAGTACCATTCGTCTCCATTCACTCCTATCTAACACGCTCACGCACGCTTGCAGTTACAAGCACTAAAAAACAATGGAATACAAAATGTATCGAATGTATGCATGGAACTGGTCACCCTGGCTTGTAAACAATGACGGCAGGGCAGCCGAGGCGCTCAGGCTGGACAGACAGGTTCGGAACGAATCACGGTCGAGTTTCATCATTGGCCGTGCCAAAAATTTTACAAACGCTTTGTTGGGCAAATTTATCGTTAGACGATGCCTTCATTAGTCGAGGGTCCACTATACTGCATTTATTGTATGCATGCATTGTATTTACTGAATACATGTACTGTACTGTATACATGTACTGTATTGTGTATATATATACTGTATTTATTGTATACATGTACTGCATTTATTGTATACATGCATACATTGTGTTTA